TTTGGGGGGGGGGGGGGTTGAGGGAAGTTAAGAGAGAGAGAGAGTGGGAGAGAGAGATTGTGTGTGTGTGTGTGCGTGTGTGGTGAGGGCGTTGCTGTTGCTGGGGGAGGTGGGGAGCTGGCTGGCCGCCGGCACGTTGCGTGCAAGCAGCTGCCGGCTGCCGCGCCTCGCCCTCCTCCCAGCCCCGGCGCGTGCCCGCTGGCCTGCCGGGCCAGCTTTGGAACCCCTGCCGCGCCCACCAGGCTTGTGTGGCTTTGTCCCTGCAGGCACACATCCTGGAGCAGGAAGTGTCGGCCATCGTGTTTGGAGGCGCGCCGCCACAGCTCAACGGCGGCGGCGGCGGGCCCGGCGGCGGCCCAGGCGGCCCAGGCGGCGGCGGCGGCGGCGGCCCCGGCCAGGCCTTTGGCGCGTGCCGCGAGTGCGGCGCGCAGCTGCAGCTGGTGATGAACGCGGAGGCCCCCCCCAGCATCCTGTGCAGCTCCTACCCCATGCACCGCCTGCGGCTGGACCTGCCACGCGGCACGCTGGCGGTGGCGGTCACCAGTGAGCGCTGGCCCCCTGGGCTGCCAGGCGGGGTGGCGGTGTTTGGCGGGGTGGCGGGAGGGCACAGCGCATTGCATAGCACCCCACCTTCAGCTGTTGCATGCCGCCGTCTGAGCGTGACCCGTACTATAGTGTACAGCATGTCCCCACAGCCTGCCGCGCCCCGAGCGCCACGCAGCCGCTGGCTTCCTCTCTCACCTGCCTACCTCCCACGCCTGCCTGCCCTGCCTGCCCCGCGCCGCCTGCAGGCGAGCAGTGCACTGCCTGCACCCACGGCCCGGTCAGGCAGCTGGCATTCAAGTTCCGGCCGGGCCTGCTGCCGCCGGGCGTGCCGCCGGCCATGACCTGCTGCGTGGTGTGCAGCCAGGACTTCAAGCGCCTGATGGACATGGTGGGGCCGGTGCAGCGGCGCGCAGCGCCCCCGCCCGCCGGCGGCCGCGGCGGCGCGCCGCAGTATGGCCGTGGCGGCGGCGGCAGAGGCGGCAGAGGCCCTGCAGCGGTGGGCCGCGGCGGCGGCGCAGGCCGCGGCGCCACGGCGGGGGGCAGGGGGCGAGGAGGCGCGGCCGGGCGTGGCGCGGCCGGGGGAGGCAGGGGGAGAGGCGGCGCGGCGGGGGGCAGGGGTGGCGGGGCCGGGCGTGGCCGGGGGCGAGGCCGGGGATGATCGTGTGGCTGCAATCCCTTCCCTTCCCATTTCATCGATTTTCTACCTGTATCCTGTTCTCTCTGCTATTCCCTCTCCCGAGCTGCCACCTCCTTGCTTTCTTCTGACTTTCTGACTTGCAATTACATCGTGACTGCCCTATTCAGACTTGATGTCGCCACCCACCCACACAGTGAGGAGACAAGGGGCGGCACGGGGTTCACAGGAGGGGCAACAGGGGGCAACAGTATGACGCGAGGGCCAGGAGCTATAAACAACAGGGAGGTCGACAGGTCATCAAATGCTGTCCAGTGCTGAGCATATCCAGGGTTCCAGTCTGGCCGCTGCGCCACGGGTTGGCACGGGTTCCTTTCGCCGCAGCACCGCTGGCACGTTTGCCTGGGCTGTTTAACAGCGCGCCTCGAGCCAGCCGGCAGCTCTGATGTCAGCCCGCCAGCCCCCTTCTTCGTCTGTTGCCAGGTGCGCCGAGATTGCCGCGGAGAAGGCGGGGCAGGCGGGGCAGGCGACTGCGTAGGGGGTGAGAGGTGGGAGGCCAGCAGGCACCCCCGCTGTGGCACAACTCAGAAGCAGGTTGCCCCTTCCCAACTCCAGCCCCGAGCAAGCGACGCGACTGCATCCCTCACTGCATCCCATTGCTCTCAAACACTAGCAGTTAACAGCGCGCGCAGCGCGCGTCGGGCTTTCAAGGCTAGATCTGGCTCGGGAGATGTGGCAGGCAGGGGCGCAGGCAAGGACAATCGGGCTGCAGAATCGGGCTAGGGGATGGCAAAAGGGGCGGCGCATGGCCGCTAGAAAGCTGGGCGCAATGCGCGCGACTACTCAGATGCAACGAGTGGGCGGGTGGGTGAATGGCCACTACACGGGCCTTCAGGACAGGTGTTGCTGAGGATGGCAGATCGGCAGATGGGACAAGAGAGAATGCCGCCCAGAGGCGGCGGCTTGGATGGGAAAAAGATAAGCACAACGCTGCTGAGGGCCGCAGCTGGGCAGATGAAGGAGGGAAGCACGGGCGTGCAGGTTACGCGTGGTGCCCCTGCGGCACGCACCGCCGCCGCAGGCAGCAACGGCGGCGGCGCTGCGCGCCGCAAGGCACGACAGGCATGAGGCGTGGTGGGGGGCGTCGCACAGACGCTGGTGGCTTACGATGCTGGCGCGAACTCAAAGGTGACGCCGTCGCCGCCGTCGGGGTAGGAGACCGAAGTGACGCCGTGCTGCGTGTTTGCCATGCTGAACGCGCCCGCCGGCTGGCCGGGCCGGAAGACGACCTTGACGTCGCCGCCGGCGTCGGTGAGGATGCCAGCGTGGATGGCGGCGCGGCACATGGCGCTGCGCGCGTAGTACAGGCCGATGCCCCAGACGTAGGGCTGCAGGCCCGTGCCGGTGCAGCCCGACGGGCAGGTGACCACGGTGACGTTGTTGGTGGCGCTCACGTAGTTGGTGGCGGCGCTGGAGCAGGTGGGCGGCGTTGGCGGCGCCGGCGGCGGGGACGGCGGCACGGGCGGCGGGGACGGCGGCGTCGGCGGGGACGGCGGCGCCGGGGGTGGGGGCGTGAACACGAAGGCGTCGTATTTCTCCTCGTAGCTCATCGAGCTCACGCCGTTCTGCTCGGAGCCTGCGGCAAGGCGTGGGCGTGGGCGGCGCAGGGCAAAGGGGGAGCCGGGGAGCGGCGCGCGCGCACGCGCCGGCGGGCGCCCGCCATCCTCCTGCCGCTCACCCACGAAGGTCGGGTAGATTAGGAGGTAGTGGAAGGTCACCACGCCGCCGGCGTCGGTCAGCTTGCCGGCGTGGATGGCGGCGCGGCAGATGCTGCTGTCCGCAGTGTAGGTGGTGGTGCCGTACACGTCGCCCGACTCGGCGGTGCAGCCGGATGGGCACGTCACGCTGGTGGACAGCGGCTTGTCGTAGCCCACGTAGTCCCAGCCCGCCGCGTTGCAGGCGACCGGCGTGGGCGGCGGCGAGGGCGGCGGCGAGGGCGGCGGCGAGGGAGGGCGCGGAGAGGGCGGCTTGGGAGGCTTGGGAGAGGGCGGCTTGGGAGGCTTGGGAGATGACGGCTTTGGAGGCTTGGGAGAGGGCGGCTTTGGAGGCTGAGGGGATGGCGGTTTGGGCTTCGGAGGCTTGGGGGATGGCGGCTTGGGCTTTGGAGGCTTGGGGGATGGCGGCTTGGGCTTCGGAGGCTTGGGAGACGGCGGCTTGGGTTTGGGGGGCTTGGGGGAGGGCGGCTTGGGCTTGGGGGGCTTGGGAGACGGCGGCCTGGGCTTCGGAGGCTTGGGGGAGGGCGGCTTGGGGCTCGCCAGCAGATCGCGCTTTCCCGCCGCCGGTGCGGCGCTCCAGATGGCGGCCAGCGCCGCCGCCGCGAGCAGCGCGGTGAGTGTGGGCGCAGCGCGCGGCATCGCTGACTGTCGCCGGCGGGCTGCGCAAGCGTGGATCAGAGGGAGGGAGGGGGTGTGGCCTGCAGCGCGGCGGGGGGCGCGGGTGTGAGTCCTGCAGGCGGCGGGAGCATGGGTGCGCGCGCGTGGGGCACCGCCGGTAGGGCACCGCCGGTAGGGCATTGCCCGCTCAGGCTGCGGCGGCCGCCGCAGCGCTCATGCCGCGCGCCCCCGTGCGGGGGACGCCGTGGCTGGCAACGTGCGGGGCGGGGGGCGCGCGCGTGATCGGGAGCACTCACCTGTAGGCGGGCCCGCGGGGGCTGGGCAGTGGGAGCCGGGGCTGTGCACCGGGGACGGCCCTCGAGTGTTGCGGCCACGCGCGACGGCGATGGCGATGGACGGGGCCCTGCGGCAACAACTGAGATTCTGGCTGGCACAGGGTCCTGTACGTCCGACCTGGCGTGATCCGAACAGATTCGGGCCGGGACGCTCTGCTTCCCGGCACCCGCTCAGGGCCCGGCGCATTGGCCTCTGGGATGGCGGCCGGATGGCGGGGGGGTTGGGCGGCGGCGGCGGCGGCGGTGGCGGCGGTCTCGCCGGCGGCGGCGGCGGCGCCGGTGCAGCTGCCACAGCTGCCACATGCGGCCACACCTTCCTGACCCCCCCCCCAACATACACACACGCACACACACACACACACACAAACACAACTCGTGGCCAGGAGGACAAGTGAGGAGACGAGGGGTGGCACGGGGTTCACAGCAGGGGCAACAGGGGGCATCAGCATGGCACAAGAGCCAGGAGCTATAAGCAACAGGGTCATCGACAGATCATCAAATGCTGTCCAGTGCTGAGCATATCCAGGGTTCCAGTCTGGCCGCTGCGGCACGGGTTGGCACGGGTTCCTTTCGCCGCGGCACTGCTGCCACGTTTGCCTGGGCTGTTTAACAGCGTGCCTCGAGCCAGCCGGCAGCTCTGATGTCAGCCCGCCAGCGGGGCCCGCCTCCTCAGTCGTTGGGGTTGTAGGAGGTGCCTGTGCGGATCGACTTCTCAAACCTGTCCAGCCGCTTCACCCTGCGGAAACCATACAGCACCAGCCCCGCGCACACCGCCGACAGGCTGAGCGCGGCGCCCGCCGCCGCGGGCTGCCCCGCCAGCGCCAGCTGCACCCCCACATTCAGCAGCCCCATGCAGCCGATGCTGTTGATGGTGGCAGCCTGCGCGGGGTCGGAGCGGCGCGGGGAGCAGCGGGGCAGGGGCACGGGCGGTCGCCAGGCTGGTCAAGGAGGCAGGCAAGCTGGGGCAGGAGGGGCAGCAGGCATCTAGCGGGGGCGCCACGTGCGGTGCCGCCGACACGCCCCCCAGCCACCACACCACAACCGCATCCCGTACACCCACACCCACACCACTGCCCGCCACCCACCCCACCCCACCAGCCTCAAGACAGCCTCACCTGTATGACGCCGCTGCGGCGGTCTGCCCGCTCCGCCTCCAGCACCCTGACCCGCAGCTTGAGGTCCCCCGCCTCCAGCTGCGCCATGGTGCTCTGCAGGCGGGGGGGAGGGGACAGGCGGGGGGCAGGTGGGGCCAATGCCAACGTCAGCACAGGCCGCGGGATGCGCGTGCGGCACTGGGAACAGGCAGGGCACAGCGGGGGAGAGGAGGTGCCGCTGGCGGGGTGTGTCGGGTGGGTTCCGGGGCACACAAGCCCTGGCAGCACCCTCAGGCATGCCTCGGCCGCCTGCCCGCCCACCTCGATGCGCTGCACGCGCAGCGGCATGGCGGCGGCCGCCTGCCCCAGGTCCGCCGCCTGCTGCTGCAGCTGGGCCAGCAGGAAGGAGGACTGGCTGCGGCTGTCCCGCAGGTCCAGCAGCTCAGAGGCATAGGGCGCCGCCACGGCGGCAAACTTGAAGCCGGGGTCAAGAGCCTTGCCGATGCCCTCCAGCGTGGCAAAGGCCCTGCAATGGACAGAAGAAGGCGACAGACGGCAGGAAAGCGCTGGAACAACAGAAAGTGGCAAGGCTGTGGGCGGCAGCTGCGCGGCGGTCCCGGCACTGCGGCCCAGCTGCCTGCTGCTCCTGCAAGCGCCCAGCCAGCCGGCACGCGTCGCCGCTCACCGCAGCACAAAGGTGAAGGCGGCGGGGAAGCGGAAGGGCTGGTCCTGCAGCGGCGGCGGGGGTGGTGCGGCGGGGAGGAGGGGCGGGCCAGTGAGGCGACGCAGGATGGCAGCGGTGGCATCACCGGGACCCTGGCATGGGCCCCCTCCCTGCCCCTCCCCCACACCACCCACCACCATCACCACCACCGCACATGCGCACACACACACACACACGCAACACATGCGCGCCGCGGCGGGCAGCCCACCACCCTCCCGGCCACACACACACACACA